TGGAAAAGTATCTGTACATGTACTTGTACCGAGTACGGTATTTGGTATCTGAACATCCCTAACATATATATATATATATATGTGTGTATATATATATATATATTTATCATTATTTCCACAACAAGCCAGTTATATACTGTATATACTGTATTTTCTATACCTCATGTGACTGATGTCATCCACAAACTGTGAAATGTGCTGGTGCTGCAAGGATCAGGCATAGCATGTGGTAATAATATATAGAAATTACAGGGAAACATTAATCTTTGAGTGACATGTGTAACACAAGCCTCCTAATTCCGTATTGACACGCAGCACATGCCAGGGACGGACGAGAGGTGAAAAGCTCAGTATTGCCGGGTGCACAGAGTGTATTAGAAGCGTATCGTCTCCAACCAGCATCACAGAATTTGGTGCATCGGAAGTCTGGATACAGAGCCAGATCTTCCATGACAGCTTCGGTAGAATTCTGGATAATCATTTGCTCAGCAACTATCCCAATGGCAATAAACAGCAATCTTCCTAATGAGTGATAAAATCTGCCCTTCCATTGATTCCAGGTTTACACCATTGATACATGGCCTCCATTATTTGGGATCACCGGTAAGGCTCATGGCAGCCAATCAGATGTCAGTTACCATAGTTTTAGAAAATTAAATTAGACTTATATTATCCATTCAGTGATGTGTTACTGCATACTGGCCATGTTTTGTGGCTCATCAGTGCAAATATGCAAGTACATCTAAACCCAAACTTGATGATATTTAGTTTGCTAAAGCACCGTGCATCATAAACATTTCCCCTTTGTTATTTCCATAAAGCATTGGGGGGGTTTTTCAACCTTATTTGCATCTCTTAACATAAGAAATCACAACAACATCAGGTTTAGGAATAGGGCCTATAGCACAAGTCTCATGAATTCTTCCGTGAAACCCCTGCAATCTGTCATGCAGGAGTGTAACTAAAGATCACGGGGCCCCCATAGCAAATATGTGATGGTGGGGGTGCTGACGGATCTCTCTCTGAGCTGTGAGTAATGACACAAAGTTCCCAAAGACTCCTCTTGTGCATCCGATATCAGCTTTCTTACACTGTAGACTTTAGGATTAGGGTTGTCATCAACCACACCAACCCTTAATGATACACTACTGTGTTACCTGCACATGTTCTATGTTTAAATTGGCTCAAAAACCTAATGGGGCCCCTATCCACGGCCAGGCCCCATAGCAGCTGCCCATCCGCCCCCCCCCCCCCCCCACAAACACACAAAGTGCAACCCATAAATGTTTTTTTTTTTTCATATAAAGGACTGCTGTTTTCAGAAATTGCACTTGGTTGCATTACACAGGCAGTTTTAGGTGCAGATAGTGCTTAGCAAAGTTCTTCTTTTAAGCTACAATCCATTCCGACCTTTCTGCCACCCCACCATAGTTTCATTGTAAAGACAGATTTTTCATTTTCATATTAGAAAGACATTCATTGGGATGTTTGAGACTTGTTGCTGGAGCAAAGTTTAGCTACCTGGCAATGGACATCCTCCTTCTTGCTGGTCCTACTATGCTCCTGGATGTATCAGACAAGTTTTTAGAGACATACATGTATTGAATTACATTGGAAAATGACCCCAACATCCCCAGACTACCCCCAGCATTTGATTGTATAGGCGTGCTCAGCACTATTATTACAGGATCAAGAATCATAATGATCATATTTTTCCGCATTACACTTACAGGAAAACAATTACTGTTTATTTTGTTGCCTTTACAATGTTTAAAAGGGTTCATTCACCCAAAAGTGATCTTTAAGATTTAAATAAGTGCATCCACCTTCTTCATATAACTCTTGAGGATCCTAGATTGATTTAAAGTGGAATTCAAAGCATAATGCTAGGGCTACATCATTTAAAGAGGCACTGTCACCTCGCCCATTGAGGACAAAGTGGGTGTGTCTGCGCATAGCCCCCCCCCCCCCCCCC